TTCTATTGATGCAGAGAAATCTATGATCTCCAAGGTTAGGACTCGTCTTTCCAATTTAACTTCTGAAATAATTAGATGATTCCTCACCTATTTTTTAGTATTATTGACTGTTATCTTTCATTAATACAGTTGAAGACCGAGTGTGGCAGCCAGTTCACAAACAAACTAGAAGGAATGTTTAAGGTATACATCTTTGAATCAATTTATAACATACTGACTCAATTTTTACCTATATCTTTTTCTTGGCTTGAAATTTCACTGGGAATTTGAACCTGGTGAGTAATTTTTGGTTACATAAAACATCGTGATAATATCCATCAATTATATAATGTTTTCTCCCTATCAGTTAAGCATTTATGTCACCGACATATGAAATGACCTAGCATTTGTTTAAATATATTTTAAACATGCTGAAATGAACTAGGCTTGGTATATTTGATAGAAGTTCATATTTTGATGATGTGCTCAGGTTTTATAGTTTTGTACAACTACCATATAAGTAACAACGATTTGACAAACTTCATGAATTACCTTAATTTTTATTCATAGCCTTTTATAACAGTTTTAAAACTTTTTCTGATTCAGGACATCGAATTATCCAAAGAAATAAATGAGTCCTTCAAACAGTCATCCCAGGCTAGGACAAAACTCCCATCAGGGATTGAAATGAGTGTGCATGTCTTGACAACTGGGTAAGCACAGTGCTTTCCCTTTCTTATCTGTTATCATTGATTTTTTATGTACTTTTTTATTCCAACGAATCTAATCAGAATTATTGGATGAGCGTAGGTACTGGCCAACATATCCACCCATGGATGTTAGACTTCCTCATGAATTGAATGTTTATCAGGTTCAGCATAAGCCATGAATGAATGCTCTTTTAACTGTAGGCATCCTTGATACTTTTGAGTGACTTCCTTGACATGATCCTTTCCTTTTCTTTTTTCTTCATCCAGGACATTTTCAAAGAGTTCTATCTGAGCAAATACAGTGGAAGACGTCTGATGTGGCAAAATTCATTAGGTCACTGTGTCTTGAAAGCGGAGTTTCCTAAAGGGAAAAAGGAGTTAGCTGTCTCCCTATTTCAGGTTGGCCAAAAACCATTTATTTTATATTTCATTTTGTTGCTGTCTATCATACATTGAATACATTTTTCTATTATTAATTCTGTATGCTTGGTTGTGGTCCAGACTGTTGTTCTGATGCTATTCAATGATGCTGAGAAACTAAGCTTTCAAGATATCAAAGACTCTACTGGTATCGAGGACAAGGAATTGAGAAGGACTCTGCAATCACTTGCCTGTGGAAAAGTTCGTGTCCTACAAAAGGTGTGCTTGTAAATTGTAATCATTTGCAGAATTACCAGTTCATAATTATTTTTTGGTTTACAGCTATGGTCTCTTTTAATTACCTAATGTTGATTTCCTTTGTTGAACATGCAACAGTTGCCGAAGGGTAGAGATGTGGAGGATGATGACTCATTTGTTTTCAATGAAGGGTTTGCAGCTCCTCTTTACCGTATAAAGGTACCATGCCCAATGCTTGCTTAGGCACATTAGGAATCAGATTTAGTGAAACTTGCATTTGTGTTTTAATTGCAATTACCATAAGCCTTCCTCTAAAATTATGATTATGAGATTCTTTTGCAAACTAATTTGGTGTTGAGGAGTGCAGGTAAATGCAATTCAGTTGAAGGAGACAGTGGAGGAGAACACAAGCACCACTGAAAGAGTCTTCCAGGACCGTCAATATCAGGTCAATTTGCTTTCTCAAAAGCCCTCCTCTTTAGCTCAGAGTTCAGAGGACTAATGCCCAAAGGAACATGATGCACCTTAATTCATAAGAACCTAATATACTTGGGCACATTCTGGTTTTTAGTTTTATTTCAAAATATATCTATTTCAAATAATAAATTATTTAATTGGAGTGAACATTAAACCTCTGTGCATTACCTGATTCTCTCTTTTCTTAAAGAAAAGAAATGCAACGTTTCTTTTGTTTGTCTTTAAAATTATCAATTTTTGTTGATTATGAAAGTTTAAGGAAAAGCTCAATTTCAAATAAACTTTACAAATTGAAACAAAGTGTTGTTATATTAAGTAGAAAAGATGTCATTAGCAGATGATTTGAATTATTATGTTATTAAAATTCATAAATTTCATGGTGGAATAAATTGATATAAATATTTGATTTAGTTATGTACACAAAATTAGAAAATAATATTTTAGATATTCAAAGTTGAATGTCTAAGATTGCTGATTGCGACCAAACAAGGGAAGATGCCTTGGACAATCAAAATCATCCTGTATGTTTAGGCATCCAAGATACCTAGGTATCTTAATTGTCTTAAAATGCCTTGTTGGCACGGTTCATTGCAGGTTGATGCTGCTATTGTGAGGATCATGAAGACTAGGAAAGTGCTTAGTCACACGCTTCTTATTACTGAACTCTTCCAACAGGTGACATCATTACTACCTTTCGATTTAATTCAAATGGAATCTGAATTCCCTAGTTCCATGTCAAAATAATGTACTGGTTTGATGTTGCTTCAGCGTTGTTATACTGATAACGATCTAACTTCTCAATTACGTTATGCTTCCTTGTGTACTGATTTAAGGAAGTTATTTTTTGTCAACAGCTCAAATTTCCTATAAAACCAGCTGATTTGAAGAAAAGGATCGAAAGCCTGATTGACAGGGAGTACCTGGAGAGGGATAAGAACAACCCTCAAATATACAATTACCTGGCATAGTTTATTTTACCTCATTTCTCATTTTAAAGTTTCTTTTCTTAATTGACGTGGGAGAAGCTTGATGTTTTAATCCCCTTAAGTCATATATGTACAGTAAGAACGGATCACCCCTGCCCCCCCCCCCCCTTCTCCTCCTTTCATTTATGGACAACTGTAATTGTAAAGCATATTTTCCCCCTTGAACTTTTTTTATTTTGTTGAAAATTCAAAATTGTTCCCAAAAATGATCGAGAAATTCAAAAGAATTGGTGGTTTTACGAGGTAGGAATCTGCTCAAGGACCGAGGTGCAGGTTTTTTTCCCGCTAACTTGTACTCCTTCCTTGTCCCTTGTTACCACTTTATTCCCATGCTCCTCTACATAAATGAAAGAAAACACTACTTGGTTCAAGAAAATGTTTTGTATACTTTGCATATTTTCTTGTTGAACATAAAAAGGTTATAAATATAATTTAAGTATTGAAAAAATTCTGATAACTATACCAGATACTGTTCCACTATTTTTTTTTTCTATTCCTTGCAAGATATCAGTCATCACCCATGCCAACATTGCATTTTTCAAATAACTTTTTGCATTTTTTAAAACCATTTTGTACACTTATGTTTAGCAACATCAATGATCAAATTGAGAAGTTTCTACTGTTTTATTTACTTAATGAATGTTAACCAATACCCTTAGTGCATCAAAAGTGAAATTTTTTTTTAAGTAACAATTCATTCTTTTCATAAATTTTAATGCAGTATTAATGTGAATTTTTAAGAAACTATTTTAATTTTTTAATCACTGTTTTTAGGGGTCTTGTTAGTGAGATACTTGCTTGTTTTTGGTCATTTGTGGCCAAATTAGAGTAATTACAGAAATAACGAAGAGCTCCCTCTTTCCTGTTCAACTTAAAGGCATAGGGTTTATACAACTAGGCTTTTGGTGAGTAAGATTGATATCTCGATGATTGCCTACATTGGAATTCGTTCTTTTGTGTAACGTAGAGTACCCTACTATCTCTAGCTTTTTGAATTTTCGTTTTTTCTATTTGACATGAAAATTGCAGAAGTTGATTTGAATTGTGCACGCTGTACATGTTTTGCAAGTAGTATCTACATTGCCCGGGAGACGGATGGTTGGAAATTTTGTTTGGCATTGCATAAATCTTACGTTCTATTTTCCTATGGAAGTTAAAAGTTCCGAAAGAAAAATTCTAACAAACTTGGTTTGACGTAAAAATTATTCACTCGTCTATCATCTTGAAATATTAAAGATATATAAGTAAAAACTGTTTTTAACTAGTTATTAAATGTCAACTACTTTGAGTTATACAAGCTTGGCCTGGCTCCAATTGATTTTGATATCCTAACAAAAAAGATATTGCCCTCCCCTATTGAAAGATGCTTTTCCGCTTTACCATAAAACGGCACACAGATGAGTATATAAATATCGAATTTTTTAAATGTTGGTTTTCTAAAACTTCAAATTAGTTGGTAAGAACAGCTTTGATGTCTCAATAGTTTTATTCAGCTCAAATCCTTTAACTTATTTAATGCATTTTTGAATTCACGTTATATCAATGCAGATAAGTTTTTCAATGTGTTTCTAAACACACGGTCGTTATATCAATGCAGATAAGTTTTTCAATGTGTTTCTAAACACATTAGCATGTATTTAGAAACACGTTTTAAAAATGTGTAAACGCAGATTCAGAATAAGGTTATATCTTGTAACATGATTTCGTGCACACTTAATAGGACGTCCAATGTGATGTATATAAGTCTGTCCTAGACCAAAAAAAAAAAAAGCTGTTTCTTTAAAACTTACATTAATTGTATGTAATTTGACTTTTTCAGTTCAACAATAATTGTAGGGAAGGTGCTACCAGATATGACTACAACAGATTTTCTAAGATTAGTGACAAAAAGATGATTACAAATCTCGTCCATCTTTGAGAATCTGAATATCACACAAGGTAGTGCATACAACTAATTTGAGTTTTAGGGATTAAAAAAAAAAAAAAGCAAGTTCCGATGGGACAGCACGTAGATTCAATGAGCAATGGAAAGAGTGGGGAGCTCCACCTGTACGTGAGGTGTTCATGTGAAGATAAGGACTCAGTTTCAGCGCACACCATTCCAAACAAAAGAAGATGATTGCTGACTAAACATTCCGAGTCAAGCATTTCAATTCTCATCATTTGACCCTTTAAAAATTGTATGGAATTATATAATTTACAATAATAAACAAGAAAACATAAGCAGCCCCAATGATTGAGGTAAAATACAATCCCCACTTGAATAATAATAATAATGATGACAAATCTCCACAGCCACACTTAATTATTCAGTAACATTTACAACGCGGTTAAGATCCGCATCAAAAGCGAATACGCACACAAACCCACCAAAAAAAAGAAACTTTGAGTATAGATATTGAATACCAGGACAAAATATGAGCATTTTTCAAACGACTTTGACGGCGGAGGAAGCGGCGGCGGGGGAGGGGTCGGAGACGGTGGTGGGGTTGAGTGGGGCGCGAATAGCGGTGTCGTCGTCGGGATCGTAATCTGGGTTGAGATTGCGATCGATGGCTTCGCGTCCCTTTTCAAGACAGGGCTTGCATGCGATCTCAATGGTGATCCAACCCAGAAGCACCCCTACCACTGCTATCACCGCGCTCGTGATCGCACCCATCCCTTTCTCTTTCACCTTCACTTTCACTTTCACTCTGCTCTAAGTTTCGCTTCTTTCTGTTATGACTATGTGGGTATTATTAAGTCAAGTTTTTATTTTGGTTGTTTTATCAAGCAAAGTATAAAAAGTATGTATGTGGGTTTTGATGGGCCCAAATCCAAGATGGCATGGGGGAGAAATGGATTTTGACCGAAACTATTAAATCGACCTTTGCCTTTTTGCACTCAATTTTTGCGGAGAAATCGTTAACACTATTTCTCCTGCATTTTTATCAGTGTAAAAAATAATGGTGCTTCCAGAAAACTTCTAAACATTTATTTCCAAATTCATAGAGACTGAAAATAAACTTTCGGAATGCATGTTAATAAACGAGAATTAAGTTTCAAAAGATAACTTTTCGATCGCTTATAAACTGAGAATTTTGTGATATTTGTTCTTATTATAGTTAAAATCGTCATCAAATTTGTTGTCCATGACTAAATCATCATCAATATCCTGCATCACTTTAGTAGCTGGTCCACTCTCCTGTGCTGTGTGTAAACATGGTGAACTTATAAACACATAACAGTGTTAGATGGAGATGATGTTTTTAACTTTCAACCTTCTTCATAATATTGGATAGTACGTTGAGATGTTTTCTATTTATACACGATATACTCAATTACCCAATTGAGTACAATGTCATTCCTAAACACGAGTTATTGAAAAGTTCATATTACAATTTTTTTATTCTTATTGAACCTTTTTTTATGTGCAGGGTTTTATTGTTGTGTAGAGGTGCAAAGAGTAAGAAGTGGAGGTGCAAAGAGTAACCCAAAATAATGGCTGACCAGGTTTTCATTTGAGCTGAGTTTCAAATAATGCGTTTGTTGGACCAAAAACAGGAATAAATAACACCACTAAGAAAGTTAAAAGAAGGGATAAAAAACTAGACAAATAGCTTTATTTTGTGGAAATGCAGACACTAGTGGTTAATTACAAATACCATTCATCCATAGATTTGCAAGCCGTGGAAAACTGAAATGGCTAGGATTGGACCAATCTTGGATTTCGCCTTATATTATTATTATTAATCAATAAGTTCGTAATCTTGTCAAATTAAATTAATAGATTCTCACATTTGCAAAAAAATAAATTAAATTAATATATCCTTTTGGAAATAAGGCCCAAGCTGATAAATTAATATATCCTATATCATGTTTAGCTTCATCTTCTTTGTCATTAACAATCAAGCAAATAAATATATAGCAAAAATAATCGAGAATATATTCAACCACTCCTAACATATAAGCGACAATAGTGTATCTAATTTCAACCCCTAAACTATGACGTCAAAAAACTAAAATTGACCACCAAACTACTCATAATTCGCAATCATCACCAACCTAAACCACACGGAGAGGAAATATGTAACACTTATTCTCTTGCAGTTATATTTATTTTATTTTATTCTATTTTAAAACAAAATTTAAGTTTTGAAAAAAATAACCACACATACGAGATGGTTTGCATTAGCACGTGGAACATATCGTTCTAATCACATAAAAAGAATTGCAATATGTATATAAGAGAACTTTGGTACCCTTCTGTTAATCATTCCCCCCAATTAAAGAAAAAGGCACACTGTTGCATTCACCTTGGCCACTACACTAAAACACTATTATCCATCCTTAGAAGCAAGCACCTCACCTTTTTGTTAGATACTCTTGAATGCATTGAAAAAACGTTCTTTGTAGCATTTAACAATAACACCTCACCAACCTGAAATTTAATTTTGCGTGCATCTCACTATATTCACACTTTTGTCAACTTTCCTTGACTGACTCTGCAAGTGGAGGTGCATCACTCCCTCTTTCACTACACACCAGCTGGATCAACTTTGACCGTCAAACCCAATCACAATCAAGAGTCTTAATATCTCTCTTGACAGTGACTACTATCAAGAGAAACGTGGTGATAAGGATAGCTATTATGTCCTTTCAAATAGAGGATCAACATGGAATTGGAAAAAACTCAAATTTCAAAGAAACATAATGAGGAAATCTCAATGCAAGTACACAACTTTGGAATAAATACCAAAATTCACTTGACAGTGATATACATAAACATGTTTAAATGATGCCGAAAATTTTCAACTATGTGAAAGTCATTTTAACAATAATAAAGAATCAGAACAATAGATGAAACTCTTGTTGAAGTTTAACAGTATAATCCCACACAAATAGTTTCTAGCTAATATGTAAAATTTTATCACATGCAAAAGTCTTTCCCGTTTAACACGCATACAATTTGGTATTGACTTTTTAATTGCCTGATAATTAGTTACCAAAATGTGTTACTCGTTCATGACCAGGTACATTTTCTTTTTGCCAAGCATCGTTCATGATTAGCAAAATGGGAAAAGTCTAGATTTAAAATTTAAAAAAAAAAAAAAGAGCAACGGGAATGGAAAGGTGATAGGATAATTGCTAAAAAAAGGTACAAAACTTGAGTGCATATATTAGCTAGGGATGCCTTATCTTTAGATAATTTTGCTTTAAGATATACCAGTTTCTCAGCCATAATGAATTTTATCTCCTATTTTCTTGTTCGAATTAAGCAACCCTTAAACATAAATATTAGCTATTTAGCATACAAATCAAGTAATAGACATAAGAAACCTAACGGGAAGGTAATATGAATGGACATCCAAATTCAGAACAACATTTTGAACATTTCATTCTCGTACTATATCTATCACAACGGAATTCCAATCTCAGGACCCAGCACTTTGATCTTATTGCAGCCAAGTACAGCAACTAACACATTATCAAGGAAAAAGGCCTATACAAACAAATACTACCTTTTTATCTTTTCAAAAATTATATTCAATGTGGCTCCAGAAACAAGCACAACAAGAATTGCTGACAATAGAATCATGCAATAGAGACGTTCATCAAGGAGAAAGTATCAAGGTATAACTAACACTGCCCAAGCAACCACCAGATACTATCATTAACACAATTCAAAAACTGACTCAAGTGTTCCTTCACACAGCTATTACAACTTTTAGACATCTAATAATTATATTAATTACATTTTATTCCGAAAACATTTTTAACATAATATTACAGGATAATGAAAAACTAAGCAAACAGCACCTGAGAGCTTGAGGGAGTCAGATCGGATAAACTTTCCGGTGCAATAATTACACGCCATCGCACACTGAAGTTCCATTTTTCCCTACAACTTTGTTTTGGGTTCAGTCTAGAGATATGACCAACAGCAACCAGAAGATTTCTACCCACAACATAAATATGACAATCACAAGCATTCACAGCAAAAGGCTTGCATATTTGCTCAGGCAAAGGGGGGCCTTCAATGGTTTCCCAGGAATCAGTTTTGGGGTCATAAACCTTTAGTTTCATTCTTTCAAGCTCAGAAACAACAAACAAGTGCCCGTAAACAACAACACTTGACCCAGTCCACCCTTCTCTAAGTCCAACAGCCATATTTTCCCAGTTATTAGTTCTTGGATCATATACCTGACCTCTAGGAGAGACATAAAAGGGCCATAACCAACCTTCTGTCACCAGAAGTTTCCCATTGAGAACTGCAGCATCATAAGATGCCATATTTGTTCCCATGCTGGCAATAGGGCGCCAACTCCCATTGAAAGGATCCAACACCTCAGCAGAATCTAGCTCATAAAGATCAGTACTATTTCCTCCAGCTACATAAATCATCCCATCAATCACTCCACTGGCAAAAAAAGACCTAGCAGTAATCATCCTATTCATCACAGTCCATCTATTTTTCTGCATCTCATATTTCAACACCAAATCGAGAGGACAATCCACATCAGAAACCATACCACCACAAACAAACAGCGTGCCGTCACGTGGAATTGAAACACACCTAAAACCATGAGGACAAACCTTGTCCTTACAAGGCATTGCAGGGATAGTGTGCCAAGAAAAGTGTGTAAGGTCAAGAACCTGCCATTGGATCTTTCCAGTGCATTTATGGTAGGCAAATACAAAAAGCCAAGGATGCTTCAAACCCAATTGCTTCCTGTTGGTAAAAAACCTCTCTTTATTACCAAGTAGCATATGCCACCTCTTGCAGACAGCTCTACAAGATGAATGACTCTGAACTGGAAGACGAAGAAGACAATTGAGAGCAACATCATCAGGTAGGCCTGGTATTAAGGGTTCTTCTCTCAAAGAAAGCTCCAATTCTGGTGATGGATTTGCCAAAGAAGATTGGATCACAGCTAACCTAAACTTAGGAGATAATGTCATTTGAGGATCTCCTAGCTTGTGTACTGGTGCCTGTTGAGATGAAAATCTAACACGTTGCATCTTTGAATCTAAAATAGACACCTAAAACCCTTCAGAAACACTAAAACTATTGCCTTCGCTAATATGCAATTTCTAATTCATGTTCTATGTTCTCAAATGGATTGGAAAAATATCACACCAAATAGTAACACCCAATTTTCAATCCGGGGGGTAAGAATCTATTCCAAAGTGGCTTGAACTGATTCCCTAACCGATTTTTGTGACAAATAAAAGGAATCCCCCAAATCCCAATCCACAATAAAGAGAAGAAGCACCAATTCCTCCTCCACAATGATCTAAAAGCTTATATAGGATACAACAAAAGGAAAATTCCACTTCTTAAAATATCCAACTTTATAAAAGCATGTTAGTCATAAAAGATATTGGGACCTGTTCTCTTCATCACAAACCAATAACTTTACCACCAACTAAGATTCATCAAGGATTTTAACTTGGGAACCCCAAAAGGGCGTAACTCGCACCAACACTACAAATACCCCAATTCACGGGTACCCTAAGCAGCAAATAAAAATCTCAGCTTTAGCCGAAATTCAACTGAAGAAAGCCAAAAAAGCATGAGATTACCCAGAAATTGTGGGGATTAAGAGAAAGACAAGGCGGAATTTATGAGGGTGCTAAGACAAAACACAAAGAAACAAGGAAAAATGAAGTGGACAAAAACAAAAACTTACAAGAAGCAATGAAGTGGTAGAGAATAGGATAGGGCAGAAAAAGGGTTTAGTGGAGATGAGATTCAGGTGCAGACTTTGCTTGCTTTTTCCACACAGACACAGCACAAGATTGAAATATATTGAATAGAGAGAGAAAGAGAGGGGGACCCTTTTTTGATGAGGGAAAGATTTGATTATTGTGTGGCAAACATGACGCCAGTAGTGCAGATTCATGCAGAGAAAACCACGCGCTTTTGGGGTTACTGGTTTGACACGGAATGGAAAATGCAAATGAATTAGATGGCCGTGGCACCACGCTCCACTGTTTCAGGCTGTACCAAACCAAACCTTTTATTCTATTCATTCATCACTATCACTTGGGAAAAGCAAAACAAGATTAATCTCTACTCATCAAAAGAACAAGTGCTTCACGCGTAATTCGGGTAATCATACATCTTCTTTAAGCCCATCATTCCCCTTATTCAAACTAAATCTAAATCAATTTACAAAAAATTAACTCCCTCTTCTTTACTTACGATTAACAACGCAATAAATCAATAAAAAACCTTCTAAAAAATGTATTAGTAATATTAAATACAATATTTTTTAATAACTCTATACACTCTCATTTTTTCATATTTATAAAATTTTCTAATTATTCTGAATTCACATATATTATTATTATTTTTTATCTTATTTCAAACATAGGACAGGACCACACATGTTCGTTCATCTGTAATTCAAATATAGATATTTTTTAAGAAAATAAATACAATTGTTTTCCAATATTAAAAGTGGAAGCATTCGGCTCTAATTTAGCATAGTAAACATTTTAAAGAGAAATATCTAAAATATACTTTTTACCGCATCATTTTTTATGTTCTTAATTATTAATTAAAAATAAAAAAAATTATATAATTTGTAATAAATTTAACTAATAAATAAAAATGTATTAAAAAATATGTTATTAAATTTTTTTATTTTTAAAAAATTAGAGTGAAGTGACGATTGACTCCATAAATACACTGACATATTGTAAGACTGAGAAAAATATATAATAAATTTTTTTATTTTAGAATATTTTTATTTAATAATTTTTTAAACAATAAAATTATAAACTATTATAAATTTTTCCAATGAATTCTTACTTTTATAAACACTTTATATTTCTTATTTAAAAAAAAAATACTTTATCTTTTTTTTTTCCCCCTCCAAAATCCTCACTTCAAACACATTATTTGGATTCACTTTTTATAGGTACATATTTCAACAATTCAACCCACCATACCACACCAAAAGAACCATGAACACCTATAATATTAGCATGTCTTCTTTTCTATCGAGCAAGCGTTTCAGATTATTCATTCATAGCTTGAGTGTTTTTTTAATGAATTAATATGCTGTAAAGTTTTTATATTCGATCTGTGAATATATTTTGTCAATCGAATTAGAGATCGAATTGCTAAATTTTTCTGAGTTACTGTGAAATTGATTAAACTGATTGAATCTATGATTAATTCGGATTATAAAAATGTATACAGATCGGTCCAACATAGATGGTCTAAAAATAAACCACAGAATAATTTTTTAAAAATTAATTAATAAAAGGTTTATTTTTTTAACAGAATAAAAAATTTATTTTTAAAATATAAATAATTTTTTTATAAAAAAAGAATTTGAATAATTTAAAAATTATACATATTTTTAAAATTTTATAATTATATATGTGTGCTTTAAAAACCTACATACATGTAAACATAAAGATGAAAGAACTTGAGACAAGACTTAAGGATGAGAGTATCAACACAATTGTGTTTATTAGAATTCAAAATCAAAATCAAACTTGCACTGGTAGGACATTCGAAGTGACCTTCCATGGATGTAAATAGAAATTTTTAAGCATGGTACTAGATTGGTTTGAGTTTGGAAAAAAAATTATCTAAATTAAGAAAAATAGAATTAGTTTGGTAAGACTTGAGTAATTTTTTATTCATAAATTGAACATGTCTAGTTTGGATAATTGAGTTTATTAATTTAAAAATATTAGAGAAATTTGGTAAAAAGTTTTATTTTTAAATTAAGTGAATTTTTAATCTACTTTCTTCTCTTCCCCAACCTAAAACATTTCACCCTTCTTTAAAATTACATCCTTATATTTATGTAAACCTGTAATAATTAATACAGTTGCCTCATTGTAAAAAGTAAATAATACAACTTTTTATGTTTTATTAATAATTTAAACTTATATTTTATATTTGATTGACCTTGCGTGTAATTAATTCAATAATAAAAATTATTAAATAATATATTATCGATATTTTTTTATAAATAAATAAGTGACATTTTTAAATATCAAAATTATATGTATAGATATAAGACATATGATTTCTTTCTCGAGTCAAATTTTTCATCATCACCATTTAAGATAGTTAAATACATACATTATTTTTTTTTATACATATTTTATATATTATTTATCTTTTTTGTTATACTTATTATTGACTCTCTTTTTTATTACTCTATTCACTTTAGTTTTTTTTATTAAAAAGTAAAAATGTCAAATTTTAAAGTCGTTAAGGTGCAATTTTATTTAATTCTACCCAATTTATAACTAAACATTAGTAGAAGATTTCTCTAAATATGAAAATTATATGCATAATTAATAACAAATTGACAAGTGATTCATCTTCTAATACTGACAATCTTAACTAGATTGATTATTTTTTATATTATTTTTTTATGTATTGTAATCATATTTTTTTTTTCTTATTACTCTCTACTTTAGTTTTTATATTTGCTGCTAGATGAGAAAGTGTCAAATTTTGAAGTTATCCAATTGTAATTATTTCATTTCTAATAATTGTATTAAAATTTTCTCCAAATACAAAAATTATGCATACAAATAATGACAAGATATAATGAGAAAAACACAATTTTGTACGCTAAAGCGAGATATAAATAGACGAAAAGAGAATTTTTGAAGATATCTTAAAAGGATTAAAAAAAACATCATTTCATCATCCTTAGAGCATGAGGTGGAGAATCTACAAGTTTCTTCTTTTCTTTTAGGTGCATTGCGATTACTCTCATAACAATGAGAAGTTAATCTTCTCTTAGTTGAGATTGAATGTAGCTAACTCATTTTTATATATATTTTAAAATACATTTGTTAATATTTTTCTTTCCTATCAATGTTAGTGATTCTTTCTCATTCTTAATGCTTATTATGTTTTGACCAAATGGAACTTGATTTATAACTTAGGTTTGATTGAAAAATACTCTCTAGGTTAAAATTTGGAATGAATCACCTAATAAAGCATGTTGCTATAAATAAGATATTATTTTATTAGTTGCAATAAGCACACTATTTAATGCAAGAAACTTCTATAAATATACAAGAGATTGATATTTGTAGTAGTAACTTAGAATTTTAATGCTAAGAGATTAAACTAAGAATATCTATATTAATGCATTAATATTGATAAGAGGGTAAATATTTATCAGTATATTGAGATATTCATAGAGAGGAAGATTATGTGAAGTTCAATTCCAACATTCCTTTGCATTGATATTTAAACTTAGTCTTTATATCTTTATTTATATCTATCAAATTGAATTTTGCTTTATGTAAACAATGTTTAAACACTATACTCTTTTTTTGCATAAATTTCAATAGACTTACAAGAATAATGGTGTAAAATTATTAAATATCAAGCAAGTTCCTTTGGACTCTTACTTCCTATTACTAAAATGAAAGTTCGGTGTGCTCAACAAACCCTTAACATACATCTCGTTAGAGAGTAAAAAAAGTAAATTTTATAAGTTGACAAAATGCATAAATGAATTTATCTAATTTTAGTTATTCAATATATGATACACTGATTGAAGATTTTCCTAGAAGCAAAATTATATGCATAAATAATGGCAAGTCAATTAGTAATTTATTTACTAAGATAAAATTTTATCACTACAATAAATAATCTTGAAAGTCTAGATTTTTTATTATATTTTTATCTTTTAGACTTATCTTACACAAGTATTATTTGTTAATTACATTTTATTATTGACAGTTTCAAAGTCATCAAAGTGCACAAATAAATTTATCTAACTCCAATTGTTTTCCATTCCATACAAAAATTAAAGTTTTCTCAATATGTAAAATTTATGTACATAAATAATAAGACAAAGATTGATTGATTCATTAAGTCTTCTACCATCAATAATAGTATATATATATATAAAGGCAGAATTTTCTTATACCGGTGTAAGTTTAAAAGTTCTTACACTTAATTTGAGCTTTTCATTTAATTTAAATCTAACGAGTTATAATTTATTACTTTACTGACTATTAAATTTAAGTTAAAAGAAAAATTTAGTTATATGTAAGAGTTTTTAGACTTACACTGGTATAAAAAGTTCATTTCTCATATATATATATATATATATATATATATATATATATATTACAATAATTTTTTCTATTTTTATTATATTTATTATTGAAAATTTCAAATTTTTCAAATTGTTGGAATATGTTAATTTAGTTATTTCTCTTTCATATCTAACACATTAATATAAGTTTTTTTAAAATATAATATTATGCACATAAATAATGACAATTTGACGAGTGATTTTATTGTTAAGTTTTTTATAACTACTATTAAGAATAGTATGAAATGTCTTGATTTTTTTAATGTATTTTAACATTATTATTATTATTATTATTATTATTATTATCTTAAAATACATATCTAATATTATTTATTTATTTTTATTATTATTTTATTTTTCTTTCTAATCACTCTCTTCTTCACTTTAAAATGTATATTTTTAAAAATGTCAATGTATAAGAATAAATTTATACAATTATGGTTATTTAACATATAACTTATTAATTAAAGATTTATCTAAAAATAAAATGTATTTGCTTAAATAATAAGTGAAATAATAGTTCATTCTTTGAGTCAAGTATTCCACCGCTAAGATCAATAATCTCAAAAGTTTTAACTATTTTTATAATTTTTTAACTTATCTTACATTACATGAAAATATCTTGATTTTTTTTCATATTTTTTATGCCCATATTTTACACTATTTCTTTCTTTTGTATCATATTAATTATTTTCTTTGTTGTTGCTTTCTCTCTTCATTTTAT